ATAATAGATATTAGTATATAAATAATTAATATAAATTATATATATAATATATAATATAAATATATATAATATACATACTATAATAGTGTGTTTGTGTTGGTCCGGAAACTACTATTATTAGTATATAGTTATTATATAAGTTTTCTATATATATTATTTAATTATATATATATTAATTATTATAATATATATATATATACTATATCATATTTTATAATTAAATATGATATTCATATATTAAAACTAAACATTGTATGACTGATATTGTAGGTAGTATGTAATATATAAAGTACAATAATCATAGTAAAACATGTTGATGAAAATAATATACACAAACTGTGTGTGTGGTGTGTGTGTGGTCGTGTGTGTGGTTGTGTGTTTGTGTTGTGTGTGTAGTTGGTAATTGTATAATAATATATGTAAAGAATATTAAATTGTGTATTATGTGTTTTGTAGAATCATTGTTTGTGTGTTGATATTTATTATATGTGTGTGTGTGTGTTTATATTGTATGTGTGTGTGTGTGTGGTGTTGTTGCTGTGTGTGTCCATTGTGTTATGTGTGTGTGTGGAGAGAGAGAGAGAGAGAGAGGGAAGAGAATAGTAAGATAAGAGAGAGAGAGAAGAGAGAAGAGAAGAGAGAGAAGAGAGGAGAGAGAGATAACGAGTGAGAGAGGGAGTGATGTATGAGAGAGATAAGTGTGTGTGTGTAGTGTGTTTGTGTTGTGTTTGTGTGTGTTGTGTGTGTGTGTGTGAGGGAGATTAGTATGTGTATGTGGAGGGAGGGTTTTTGTGGGTGCGAGTGTGTCTGTATGTATGTGGAGGGGTTGAATAAATCACCTGATTATCAAGTTAGCAATAAGAAGATTGATAACCAGCTCTTTTCACAGTACATTTAACAAGACACACTGCCTCCCAGTCAAAATAATGATATGGTAATAAATATCAACTAATGCCCAACAGAAATTTAATTAATATTTCCAAAATGAACATTCGAGAAACGATACATAAACACACATTCTCTATTCAAAACAAATTACTTTGAAAATAAATAAAAGAAAAGATTATTACAATTGATAAACAAATTCTAATACATTGGAATGTGTTACCTTAATTGCAGACGTCAAGGTTATTTGTTTATTATTCACTGTACATTTAGATAATTTGAACATACTTTACTTTAATCAACTTGCATTTTTCATTAATTTCGCCATAATTTAGTTATCCGAATAACTATAAAATCAACACAAAGCTAACT